GAGAACTGACACATTGTGCTTCCTCTCCTTCAAAATCCAGGCATTAAACGACTCCGCAACATTAGTAGTGATGTTATCCCATCGCTTAAACGGGAATTTGCTTAAAGCCCACCGATCTACATCTCCTTGAGTGTCAACCCAATCAGCCAATTGTGGACAGAATGATCTAAGTTTCCCCATTGCAGCAACATATTCATCCTCAATCCTTGCATAGGCGATTCCATCCAGCATTTTCAATGCAACGTCCTTTGAAGTACCTGAAACTCGTCCCCTGCCTCGGTTAATTTTTAAATAATGTGCACTAAAATTTTCTTTCACATGCCTATAACAAAAAGCATGTCTCTCGCCACCAAATATTGTTCGCACAGCACCTATAATGGCATTATTCCGATCTGAAACTATCGTTGTCTCCACTGATCTTGTGATGTCTTTGATGTTCTGGAGAAACCAAGCCCAATCATCATATGTCTCCCCACTAACTATAGCATATGCTAATGGAAATAGTTCATTGTCTGCATCATATGCATTAGCTGAAATCAATGTCCCCCTGTAAGGACCACTTAGATGACAGCCGTCTATATAAAGTATATGTCGACACCCTTCTAAAAATCCATTAATTGAGCATCCATAAGCAATGAACACCCTCTGAAATCTGTTACTATCCAACCCTTCCCATCGAGCACTTGTGTTTGGATCAGTTTCAATGAGCCTTTGACAAATCCAGGGAATCGCCATGTATGAATCCTGTGCACGACCATGTATTTCCCTCAATGCTCTTTCTCTACCCCTGTATGCTTGACTATAATTCAGTCGCACCCCATATTCTCTATACAGATCTCTTCTAAGTTCATTAGCATTCTTGTCTATATTACACCTCAAAGAATCTATCATGATTGATGATGTTAAGTTTGACCCTCTAGAGTGAGATACAACCAAGCTGTCCTGTGCATAATGCACATGCTCACTTCTTAAGGTTCTAATTATTAACAACTCAGAATCTTGTCTTTGTCCCATTGAGTATGCACCCATATACCACGGGCATCCCTCCGCCATACACTTCACAATGATCTTTTGTTGATTGTTCTTCACAAACTTGTATGAAAACTTCACAGCAATACTGTACCTATACAGTGCTTGCCTAAGAGCCACTGCATTAGGAAAAATCTGTCCTTCTCCGATAACCAAACCCTTCCACTTTATTGAATTCATTTCCGGAATTGGGGTTGGCATCATTTCTGAACCACATGGCAACAATAGTGGGTCTTCACTAACCACATTAGGTGGAGACATGGACAATGTATCTGAACCTCCGAACAAGTCTTCCATCCTACATAACAGAACAGGTCAAGGGGTCGTTAATGACAACCTTCGATCACTATAATAACAACTTATGCACAACAGTTGACAATAGCTAATATTACTTCGAAATTTAAATAACACAACTTACACATGTTGCTCTTCTATTACAACATCCCTTGTTAGTTGTGAATTTTGATCTCCATTTTCTCCTATATATACATGACCACTGTCGCCATTGAAGTTAATCAAATGTTCTACTCCTTCATCATCTACAAGGTCCACAAATGTACACTCATCAAAGGTTACTGTGAATTTCATAACCATTCCATTACTTTCTTTTCCCACAATTGATGCCACCATTGTTCTAAATTCTCCATATGATGTCCCTTCCTTTATCATTCTTGTTCTCACACCACCTCCAACATACTGCGTTTCACCTTCTACACCATTAATAAATTGTCCTCCTATATGGAGGTAGCAAAACAATTGCTTTGCACTGGAAGTTGCCATCCTGGATATCAACCTGCCACAATCACTTGTTAATAACAAGTCATACAGTTATGTTAACAACCTTCGATGTACCCATTAACAACACATTTAACCATCGCATTTGAGGGGTTACAATAATAAATATCTGTCATTTTCCACTCATTTCCATCAGCAACACAGCATCATTGCCCGAAAAACAGAGCATCATTCACCGAAAAACAGAGCATTGCTTTCTAACCATAGCCACACATAGTAAAACCACACCTAACATGATTAAAACCACATATGACTAAAATGAGCCTCCCTTGATATTTCTAGAGAGCTTAATCACATGCTTAATACCAACGTATAAACACCCAATCAACTTTTCAGACCAGCATTAAAGCTGCGACTGGTTGTTAATAACAAGTCATACAGTTATGTTAACAACCTTCGATGTACCCATTAACAACACATTTAACCATCGCATTTGAGGGGTTACAATAATAAATATCTGTTATTTTCCACTCATCTTCATCAGCAACACAGCATCAGTGACCGAAAAACAGAGCCTCATTCACCGAAAAACAGAGCATTGCTTTCTAACCCTAGCCACACATAGTAAAACCACACCTAACATGATTAAAACCACATATGACTAAAATGAGCCTCCCTTAATATTTCTAGTGAGTTGAATCACATCTTTAATACCCACATATCAACACACAATCAACTTTTCAGACCAACATTAAACTTGACACTGGTTGTGTACAGAAGAAGAGAAATGTTGTTAATGATGAGACGTACCAAGAAGATGAAGAAATAATGTCGCTTGCCTGCGATGGAGTACCAGCGCATAACTCCCTTCTTTCTTTCAGAAGCTTCTCTTCCTTGTGCATGCATAACAAACAACCGCACTAAATGAAGCCAATCAGCGTCTCTCCCTCTTTTCTTTCCTTTATCAATGACTGAGGGCAAGTACGTAATATCACAACTCAAATTATTTACCCAGAGGTCCCTGGGGACTTATGAGGAATTTGGGGATTTCATGGGACCTTCTGGTAGTAAATTGTCTTCTGTGGGACTCTACAGTAATTTTCCCTAATTTTATTTGAAGTACTGTTAAAGTACTAAGTGTAGGCACTTTTTTGGCTCTCCTAACAAATATTTAAATTGTAATTCGTTACGTTGTAAGAAACTAACTTATCTCGTTAAACCCAGTCCAATTAGTATATCATGTCGTGATAATAATATTGTCCGTATCAACGTTCACAATTCTTATGTCTTTTAACCCCCGGCCCAATCTGGTAATATAACGGTAATAATCATCATAATTGTCAATGCATAATTTCAAAATTCACAACTTTACAAGCCAATCACCTTACTTTCGATGACAAAAACATATATAGAATCTTCATCATGTGTAAACATAATTCATTTCAAAATTCAACATAGATCTCACAAGACCGATTCGATTTATAAACATAATTAAATTCATTGCTTTAATTATCATACTCATATAACCCAAAAAAAAAAAAGCTCAAGAACACCACAAATGGACATGCATAGTGCAAAAATTGGTGGAAACCCTATTCACAAGCCTCAATCAAGGTTTATCTAAATAATTAATATAATAAACGATCATTATGTTGCTCGAAGTGACTAAATATACTAACTCATACAATTAGAAGTTTCAATTATCATTTTTGACATCCGTTTCCCAATTCATACCCAATTTCAATCACTATTTAGTCCTATCAATCCATTTGAGTTTCCAATTAATAACCAAAACTCCCAATTAGCCAAATTTTCTCATAACTAAAGGTTGAACCTCAACACATATATGAAAGTCAACCATTTTAGTGATCTCATAATCCAGCTCATAATGGCCAATTCAACCTCCAATGTACATAATCCAATCATGGAACCTACTTTAATCCCTCTATGGTGTACGAGTCGCAATGGACGTCTCACAGAAATTCCTATTAAACAGCTAGCAAGTAAAATCATTTGCAAATGACTTAAATATGCAATTAGATATTGTAAGTAATAGAGTGGTCTCGCTGCTACAATTCACTAAAATAGTCAAGCATGGGCTAGTCTAAATGACTTACATCCTATCTTTCGTTCCTTCAAGTTGCTCATATGCAGATCTAGCCAAGTTTATTGGCGAGAATGTTTCTCTTAATAGTACAAGAAAAAGACATAAAGAAGAAAGTGATATATAATGTTTTCCAGGCATAAGCAACACTTTTCTTTAAAAGCAGCACTTTTCTTTAAACTTAATTCGCCCCTACCTATTCCTATTTTATAGGGTGCAAGTTAAGTTAACTGGCAAATTCGTTCAAGATATGATGAAGATCCTTGAATATGAATTATACTTTCAAGATACAAGTTAAGACAACAGTAACCTTTACAAAGTGATAATTTGACTTTATCTTTATGTAAACGCACAGACAAAAGCAATGAATTTGATTTTAGTATGTTTGTCTTGTGTATTCTTTCTACCTCTTACGAACAGAGTGATGGTGAAGGTTTTATATAGATCATGAAGGGATGTCTTGAAGAGATGTCTTGAAGAGATGCTTTTTGGAGTAATACCTTTTTAATTAAAAGTCACAATCATATGTTGATCTATGAACTAACATAAACCAACATAATTTAAAAAATTAAAGGATATTTATCATCCTTTTCGTGAAGAGTTACACCTTATTAATATGTAGGGTTGCCTTAAGAAAACGACGCAACCTTTCACTAAGAGGTAGTTATCACACCTTTATATATGTCTTTAGACATCAATCTTAGTGTCTTTTGGTATTGTAACTTCCTACATAATCCTTCATATAAATATATGTTAATTTATGTAAAAACACAATCCCTCATATAATTATATTAATTTATATGAGAACAAAACCATTCATATAAATTTATCAATTTAACAAATTTACATATGACTTTTTAAAAAATACATCTCATCATGTTAAAAATATTCCAATAAAATTCATGCTCACTCATGATTTAGCATGCGCAAGTCCATACTTGCTCATGGACATTTTTGGACTTGTCCATTGATGAATTAAGGGCAAGTCTAGACTTTTCTCAAGGAAAAGTTTGCGGAGCACCTAGTAGAGTTAGTATTGATGCCTGGCAACCTTAAGCAAGGTTTCTAATTGGAATCCCAGAATATGAACCGTTTTGAAGTTTGAACATTGCATGTTGTTGGATTCTTTTTTTATTTGAATTTGGTAATCTAAATAAAAACATTTCACCAATTGAAACTTTAGAATATCAATTGCTCTTTCGGAAACACTTTTGGGACAAAATAATCTTTTAACTTTAGCTAGAATTAGTCAACTAATGGTCAATGTTAATCAAATATTGTTAACAGGCGACATTATCCCATTTCTAAAACTTTGGGAAATAAAATATTGTGCCAATCAAAAGCTAAACATGCCAATAACATCTAGAGAAAAACTTATAATGCAAATGTTCCCATTAACCTAATTTTAAAGTTATATACTTTCCTTTTTCTTCTTCCTTTCTCTTTTTCGTCATCTTTCATATTTCACTATTTGTGTTTTGACTATTGTTAATTATTGTTGTTATTGATTGTGAGCATTAAGTTGTTAAAAGCCATCAATATCACACCAAACATCACTGAGTATACAAATTTACTTCACGCAATATTTTTTGCTTTAAAAAAACATTCAAGCCAAAGTTAAACACATGAAAGTTCTATGCATATCCAAGTAAAAAATGTATAAAAAATTATTGAAAAGTTACATATGAAGAAGTTAAAAATAATATCATAAAAAGACATACAATAGAGGTGGATCCCACATGTTTAGCTAGCCAATCCACTCTATACTCATAAATAAAACTAAGAAAAAGTTTATTAATAGAAAATTAATAAAAGAAAAAATGCAAATAAAAACCTATAATATGTGAAATTGTGATTTGGGACCTTTAATTTGAAAAATGACAAATAAAGATTCAGTCCCTATTACAAGTATGAAATCTTGGTGAAATGTCCGAAATCACAACTCAAGTATGCCAAATGACAGGTTGACTATAGAAAATGACAAGTTCATTTTAGCGAATGACAACTTTAATAGATCAAATCACAACTTGCTGAGAGTATGTCAAATGAAAAGTTGATTATAAGAAATGACGAGTTCACTTTAACGAATGATAATTTCAAGTAAGCAAATCACAACTTGACTGAGGGGCATTTCAAACATTTTACCAAAATTTCATATTTACAAAAAACCGGGTCTTTATTTACTATTTTTCAAATTGAGGGTTCCAAATCATAATTCCACATATTGGGTTCTTTATTTGCCATTTTTCCTTAATAAAAAGCTCACCAAAAGAATATTCATAAAAAACTATATCCATAAACATTTTTTTTTAAAAAAAGTTTTCTTCAGCATCAACGTTATTAAGAACTTGAAAATTAGGGTTTTTACCAAAGATACGATGAGGGAGGGAGGGCTCAACCCGCACACGTGAACCGAAAGAAAGGGCAAGTCGGTAATTTCATCGAGGGTGACAATGTAGTGGCAGCAGCGAATCTCTGCACACCCAACGGCCCTCTTTTTCTCCCTTTCATCGTCACCAGCACACTCTCTCGTCTCTCTCTCTCTCTGTCTCTCTTTCTCTCTCTCTCTAACTCAATCGCCATCATCATCATGGAGATCTCTCAGAGACTCTTCAAATTCAAATACCACTTCGTCGCAGCTCTGCTCTTAGCCTTCACTGTCTCCTCCTTCGCCGTCCTCGCTCCCAGATTCCTCACCGTCTTGGCTTACTTCTGGCCGCTCTTCCTCTCCACCGCTCTCTTCCTCGCTCTCGTCCTCGTCTTCGGCCGGACCTCCTCCTCCGCCGCTGGCAGCAGCAGCAGCAGCAACAACACCGCCGGTGAGGTTTTCCTCGATTACGTCGCTGGCCACCACGAGCTTCAGCTGGAATCTCAAGCCAGCAAGTCCGATTAGAGCATCAGATCGGGCAATCAATCACACACAGAACGTAGCAGTTAGCATCGTAGTAAGGTTAGCTGCAGTTTGGAGATTAATTTTAGTGTCTTAACTCTGAAAAGTAGAAATATTACGGTAGCTTGTAATCTCTGGAACTTTTATAATTAATTTCTTTTTCTTTTCTCTCTTTGATTTATGCCTCGCTGTTCTTGATTTGATGTATTGGATCGGAATGTTTTGAGAGTTGCGGCACTGTGAAGCAGGGAGTGTTATACAGTGACCGTAATGAACATACGATTAAAATTAGTTTTCGTAATTTTATAGAAAAATGAAATAGCTATAATTTCACTTTTAATAATCCTACAAAAATTTTAAAAATTTTTTGCAAAAAACTTATAAAAATGTAAGTGTTACCAAATTTAACTTGAAATTTAGTAATTTCAAACAAAGTAAATTACATAAACTTTTTTTGTGAGTTTATTTAAACTCTAGGTAATACAAATATATTGAGTGATATTGATGGAGCTAATCACTGAACTCCTTGTGGATTGTTTTGCTAGACACATGTATTTTATTGAATTAAAAAATTATACATATTATCCTCTATTATATAAGAACCTATGGACACTGTTTCTTGAATCTTGTGCAATAGATTGAAATGATGGCAGATCAAGATAAATGTAATCTGGTTTAAGACATGCTTGATGCACAGCCTATGCATATTGATTAAAAAATATTAACATCAATTTCAAGCATCAAATTTGTAGTAACTTGTTGGGTTTTTTTAAAGTACGAGTTTGAATCTCTGTCAATACAATTAAGTATGTGAATTCTTTTCATTGGATGGAAGATAAAAAATAAATAAAATTTATAACAAGTTATAGTATTTATGTATCATTTATAGTGTGAATCAATTTTTCTTTTTTGGGTCTGAGTATGAATCAATTTTATAATTTATATTTTATACTTTATGCAATATACATGCCTCATATCTAATTTGAAAAAACTCAGAAAAAAATACCTCTAAAATTTGAAAATCTCAAATTAAGAATGACATAAAAATATGTTGTTATTTACGTTTTAAATGTTTTCAATTCTTGTTAAAATATGGGAAGTATGACTGATTTAAAATTCTAAAATTCAAAAGTATTTTTTAGGATTTTTTTTCATCTAATTTTATGTCATTATGTTATGGATACAATTTTTTTTTAATAACATGAGTAAAGTGATGATGGAAGATGCACTCCAGGCTACGATGGAAACTCTGGTAGACTAGCACGTAGGTTTGATGACAATAAGCTTCCTGTCTAGTAGTTTCACGAAGTTTACAGGAATTTATTTTATATTTTCTCTAATATAAATATAAGACATTAATTATTTTATCTTTTAAATTTATAATTTTTTTAACATATTTATATTGTAGACATTAAATGGACATTCTTATCAATTTACTGGTTTCCAATCAAATAATTAACGGGTATCTAAAAAACAAAAAATCAAATTAACAGTGTCTTTATAACTAATTTTATTAATATCTATAAATAATTATCTAATTTTTGTGTTTAAGAGGGAAGGGGTATTAATATTTGCTTTGAGAGCTGAACTTCATGAATAAGAAGTTATCTATATCTTGATTAACCCTCATATTAAGGACATTAAAGGCTTTTTAACACAAGACTGATGTGCTATTACAAAACATATGCTTAAAGAAACGGAACAAATGCTTGAATTGGTTAATTCGCCATGGCCACATATTATTGATAATGATGTTGTTCTTCGTCATTCTCCTTTTCTTTGTCGGGAGCTATTTTGTTTCTGATGGAAATGATGGGCATCATGCTTATGAACAGATGAAATTAGATTAATATAAAAATTATTTATTTATATGTGATGATATAAATATGAATATATTTATAAAACATATAATATCTCACAATATTTTTTTGATAGGTAAAGTTATCATTGGCAAACTTATTCGAGGTACTATCAAACACTAAATATGTGCATGTTATGGTATTGCTCATAAATTGTAACCATGTCCCATTATTCCTTAAATTCCATGAAATATGTTAAGTTAATAAATAGATATTCCTTCCTATCATAAATGCAGGAACTACTTAGAGAATTAATGTTAGTTATAAATGTAAAATATCAAATTATTTTTTCTCTATTAATTATATGTGAGTCTTTATCAAATAATATCTCCAATTCAATTATTAAAGATATTAAAAAATTAATCTTTTTCACTGAAAAGTATATGATTCTCTTCATCTTTGCAATCTATAAACTGAAGAAAGTATTAATCTATGAAATATATATATATATATATATATATATATACTACCTCCTGTTCTAATTATAAGAGTTAGTTGATTAATTTGAAGAGATTAAGAAAAGAAGTCAAGTTAGTTATTTGTAATAAATGAGTGTTGTCTTTCCTAAAATATCCTTAATAAATAAGTGTATTGGTTAGAACTATTATTGTCACAAGGACTACCTTGAGAAAAAATATATGAATATGATGGACAAAATGAACTGGGATCTTATATTTAAGATCAAAATAAAAATCAAATAAGATCTTATATTAAAAACCGAAAGCAGTATTATTGATGATAACTGTACTTTTAAGTGAATATAAATTAATGTGTCGGTGATTATATAGAAAAAAAAAGAAATTAAATAAAATAAAAATAAAGAGATGAGATCAAATGATGGCGTCACTCGAAAGGTGATAATGGGAGGTTCCCTCGACGGGCAGCAAAACGACGGAATCAATTTGTCCAGAAACCCCACACTCACGTTTCACGCGGCAGCCACTTTGGTCATAAAATACTTACATGCGTTCACCTTTCCAAAAAACAAAAAAGTCTTTTAGCGTGATTTTTTATTCATTTTCATTTTTTATTATTTCATATTACAAGATTTTAATATATTTTTTTGTCATATTTATTCATTTTTTAAAAATAGTCTTTGTAGTTATTATACATGTTAAAAGTTGTATCGAATGATAGTTTTAATTAATACATGTGATTATCAATGGTATTTAGAAAGATATCACCAATTTGTTACAAATAACTAATTTAACTAATTTTTTAATCTACTCAAATTAATCAATAAGTTTTTATATTAAGAATCGGAAGTAATATCAAAATTTTAAAAAAAATCATTAAAGCCAACTAACGTTGTCTTAGAAGTTTAGAAGCTTTCTAATCTTATTACTATTCAATATATAAAATTTTCAAAAAAAATAATTATTAATTTATAAATATAACCAAGAAAAAAGCAGCAATGTAGTCTTGGCTGATAAAAATATTAGTGTCCAACATTAAATTTTTGTCAATCAATGTTAGCTTTTAATAGGTAAGGCCAATCTGATCCTTTTTAACACTTTCAGGACGATATTAATCCTAATAAAATTTTTACATATCTGCAACTCCAACACAAAAGTTTTCAAGGGGCAAAATTAGACGCTAATCCTTCTTTGTTTAAAGTATAAAGCATCTTATAATATCTGCACTTGTATAGTTCAAAACGATAACAAGAAAACTCAATCCAGTTAGTAGGTTAGACCAATAAATCAATCAACCAATTCTTTTTTTTTTTGGCACTAAAGTATAGGTATTCTCTTATTAAAAGTGATTATATTCGAGATACTGTTAGGTGCTAAATACGAGTATCTCTTTCAAGAGAGATTCGAACCTTAATTTATCAACGCTGTGAGGGCAATCAACCAATTGTTTGACCAGTTCTATTAAAAAATTTTATACCAATTCATTGGTTTGGATTTTATATCATTTATCCCGTTAAAAATTTCAGACCGATTCATTGGGTTGGATTTTATACAATTTTTCTTTCATTATTGAGCTTAAAGTGACGTAACATGTTTTTTAGTTTAAAAAATAGCAATCAACCAAACGTATACTTTATTAATTATTTTTTATTGGATTCTATGTCATTTATAGGAAAAATTCCCTTAAAAAAACAACTAAATAACCTAAATACTTATTTATGTCGTTAAATTTATTAAATCCTTCGTCAAGTTATATGACCTAAAAAAGGATTTTAAAATTTTATAAAATGACTCTAACATTTTTTTAATTAGAAATTAAAAGAAAATTCTGAATTAGCATATTTTATTTTACAATTAACATATTTCAATTCTAAACTAACAATTTTCTATCTTTATAATATATTTACATGAAGTCTTTCATAAAATTTTATTACAATACAGTTTGAAAATTAAGAAGGTCAATTATGCAATTAAAAGATTTCAATTCTAAATAATTAATAACTTTATATCTCCATAACACGTTTATAATAAATTTTTGAATAAAACTTGATCACAATATAATATTCAAAATTAACATGTTCTATTTTACTGTTAACACGTCTCAATTCTAAATTAACAACTTTTTATCTTCATAGAACACTTGCAAACAGTTTTTGAATAAAACTTGATCACAATATAACTTTGAAAGTTAATATGTTCTAATTTACAATTAACACGTTTCAATTCTATATTAATAACTTCCTATCCCCATAACACACAATAAAACGTGATTACAACACAATCTTTTAGTTCTAAATTAACAGCTTATATTTGCATAACACACTAGCAATAAATAAAAAACTTTGATCACATTACAACATTAAAAATTAACACATTCCATTTCACAGTTAACACATTTCTATTCTAAATTAATATTCCTCTGGTTTTAAATATAAGTCTTTTTTTATAGTGTAAATTACATTACAGAAAGAGTCTTATATTTAAAACTGGAAGAGTAACATTTCATCTTTACAACACACTTGCAATAGGAGAAGAACATTTAATATAAAAACTAACTCATCACTACTTACTATTGATTTTCCTACTTTGCAATGGTTTATGTCCAATTTCTCTCATTCAAAGTTCTTAACACAATAATGATAAAAGTTCTCATTTCTCTAAGTTTCTAATGAAAAGGGCATTAGTGTCATTTTATAAAATTTTCAAGCCCCTCTTTGGGTCATATCATATGACCTAATTAGAAATTTAACAAATTTAACAACCAAAATAAGAATATAAGTTATTAAAATTACTTTTTAAGGGTTTTTCCTAATTTATATATAAGTGTTCTATACACTTATAAATTAACACGTTTTATATGTAAACATTATTTTTTTTTTATATTTTGATTAAATTATATTATTCCAAACCACCCATGTGACCTCAGTTTAACTCCGATTCGAGTAACTGACCTTAAACCATTGTGCCAACCCCGTGTACTTTTGCCGTACCATCCTCAATTCATCTCCAGCATATTGATCCAATGTCCATTAACACTGATGCTTCTACCACTGCTTTGGACAGGGAAGAAAATAGAGAGGAGAGAAAATTAAAAAATAGATATTTCCCCTCTACCTCCCTTATTTCCCCCTGGAGGAAGTGGAAAGGCAAAAATTTTCCCCTCTAGAAGGAAAAATGCTTTTTTCTTCCAATTTTCTCTCCTTCCCATCCAAACGAAACGAAAGGTAAAATTAATTGAAATATCAATTCCAACGCTGCGCGAAGACATTAATTTGTATCATAGAATCCACTAATCCCACAAATTGATATGAGCAAGTGAAGTCGGGGACCAAATTAAAGAACTACAATAGTGGGGCTGGGGTATACCAAAATGCAGGTCAGAGCATTAAGAATTACTATCGTTTTCTCTCAGATCGCCACTTGTACACTGGTCTTGATGTTGGACAGACAACTTCATCTTCCCGTAGTTTCCGTTTTCGACCCTTTTTCTGTTTATATAACACCCCCCCAAAAAAAAAAAAGAGCGTCTTTAAGTATTATAGAGATAGAAAGTAGAAATAAAAACGAGAGAATTCCGAAAAAATATCTTTGAATTTTAAAATTTCAAATCAGTCTTATTTATTGTACTTTAATAATAATTGACAAAATTTAAAAAACAAATGACAACACATTTTTGTAATCATTCTTGATTTAGAATTTTGAAATTTTAGAGGCATGTTTTTGGGATTTTTCCTAAAAAGAAATCCAGAATAGAGTATAACGAAATGGCAAATACCTGTAGCTCCTTCTGCATTACCATATCATTGTATATTCTCTCCAGTTGACTCAACCTATTCTTCCTCTCTTCCAACTCTCTATAAGAGGCAGCCGTTCGCCTGAACATCTCAAAAATAATAATAATAAGTAATGACAATAAAAGTGAAAAAAAAAAAAAAAGACATAGAAAGAAAAGAGAAAAATAAATATCATTTTCCACTTATCATACGGCTGTACCTCTTAATCTCATCAGGAACATCACTTGATTCAAAATTCTTCCTTCCCTTAATTTGTGACTTAATTTCTTTAGCTTCCTGCCTGCATAAATATACAGAATAGATTTAACGAAAGGATCCACACAAATTAAATAAGAAATTTAAACAACGAATATATACACATGCAATTATAGAATCAAAAAACACTTATTCATAGTCTTAAGAATTAATAAACCTCTTTTTTTTTTGGGGGGGGGGGGGGGGAGGCCTTTCCCTAATGGTAGAATACATATAAGAGCTTGGAAGTAAGGAATTTTTCATAAAATTTACAAGGAGCTTCTATCCAATATCAAAAGGCAGTAAAATAATGAGACAAGGATCTTGAAACACGTACAACTGAACATGACAAATATTAAATCAATAAAGATAAAGGCCATTTGTCCAGCCGTGTGCTTGTTATAGAAATGAGCATTCATACCTGTCCTCAGCAAAGTAAATATGGCCAGACTGCTGGTGATCAACAAAGTGCAATGAAGCAGTTAGCTTTTCAACTTTCTGCATGCAAAAATTCAAAATTAACCCCACATGACAATTCCACATAAATTCTTAACGAAAAGGACATTCTACCTCATTGATCTACCTTTCTCTCACTCTGAACTTTTTGAAGAACATATCCTATATCTTGGGTTTTCATCAACATAAGCTCTTCAGGTGTATATTTATTTGCTTCACTCCTAAAGGAGACAAAGCTATCCAGTTAACTCGATTTGGAAAGTAATTATGCAAGACTAAGTTACTGAAAAAAGCTATAGAACAACTATAAGGTGGGAAGCATCCTACTCAGGTCTATGAACTCCATCAACCACTTTTGATCTGATCATTTTGAAATAAAACTCATCCGGGTTTCTGAATGCTGCTTTCTCTTTAAGTTTCTGTAGGGCAAATGCAGAAAAAATATTAGTAGTTAGGTTTTCGTATATAGACATATAGAAAAATATGTTTACTTATTCCAGATAGTAGAGGTTCACATATAGGCTTTAACATTGTAAAAGGAAGTTGGTTGACGGTATAGTAGTTCCCAATTCTCTTTTTGTAATTGTTTGCAAAACCCTAAAAACACTAATAGCCTAAATGATATTTTAAGTGAGAACTACAATTCTACTCTATTATCTTGAATATAACAGGTTGGCCTCGACTTTTCAGGTTGTGTTTTATTATCTCTGAACTTGGACTTATAAGCTGATGAGAGCACATGAATAAGGCGTCTAAGGCGCATAGCTTTCACAAGGGAAACAGCGTAATTGGTGCTCACCTATTGAAGCCTTACTGAAGGTTGTGAATCACAAGTCGTCAGGGGTGTCGGACCTCTTTAATGCATCACAACTGCTTTTGACTACACTGGATACACTCATGATTCTCTAGATTTTCAAATGGTTGGCAAGGGGTTCAAAAGGAATTTGCAAAATAAATTAGAAGAGATGCCTTTCTTATTCCTTTACATGTGTGACAAGGCTTTTAAAATATAGTGGCCGAAATCATTATGATAGGAGTTGTTTGATCTTACTGAACTTCCTACGCTGTTCTGATGTAGAAAGAACTTGTTAAAGATGCTGCATAGTTCCAGTTTTATGATTTTAAATTAACATATTCTAATTTTTGTTCTAGTCAGAGTGGCCCTTAAGGTCAAGGGTTTTCAGAGGAGGGAGGGGATATTGTTAGGCATTAGTAGTTAGTAATTGAGTTTAGTTTGCACTGAGGGAGGGAGGAAGGGAGTGAGTTGGAATTATAAAGAAAGTATCAAGCTATGATGGGCGCCTGGATTCCTACACATGTATGTCTAATCTGAACTGTATCAGCAAGGTCCAGTCATGTTAACAGATTTCTCTCTATTCTCATATTCATTCTATTTCTATTATTTTTCCCTTATCACAAAGATATGCATCAACGCCGTTAGACCAGTCATGCAAAATCAGAATGGGAAAACTGTTCCACAAATGTACCCGTATAGCCTCCTCCTTTTTATGGAATGCTTTTGCACGTACGACATAGTCTTTGTGCTTTTCAAGAAGGCCAAATTTTTTCCTCGAGGACCTGATAAAATTGCAAACAAACTCAAAAATCAAAACAGACCAATAGCCATCCAATGCGTGTTGTGAGGTAAAGCAAACATAGAATTTCTCAAGACTTACGGCTGAGCACGCTCTTTGTGAGCCCGTCTGGGAATAGCGTTCTTGAAGGAAGACATGTTCAAGTAGAGAGAAGCTGCAACGGCCTGAGCTCAGTGCCGAGGTAACTTATGGATGTGGAGGTTGCGACAGAGACTATTCAATAGAGACAGGGAACTGCGCCGCGAGAAAGGAGCTGAAACGGGTTATGCGTAACCCGTTGATTGAACTGTATAACGAGGCAGAGGTGTGCCCTGATTGTTCCAAAACAAATACTCAAATTCTCGTGGTCGCGTCCCCGTCTTGTGGTCGAGATCAATCCAAGTAGTGACTGAAAAGCGAGGGCGCACGGCGGCGCGTTGGCCGATGGTGCTTGTGCAGAAGAAGGGAAAATATAGCAGAGATGGCACACGATGGGGTTGACCTCGATCGAATCAGGGGAATGAGAGGTGGACAATGGCAGAGCAACGCGAAGGAGGAGCCAAGATTGTCGTTTGTCGGACGAGAAAGAGGAACTCGAAATGGGATCGGCGCACTGCTGAGCCCTAAGGTAGTGTTCAGTTGGCTTTTTTTTTTTAAAGAGCGTGTTTTTGGTTGGAAGGAAGCGGAGGGGCGGGGAAGCGGGGAGAGAGGGAGTGAGTGCGGATCTTCTCAGAGTGCTCATTCTTATCGGTAGTATTGGAAAAACGAGCCAGCCGACCTACAGGACCAACCAGTCACTGGCTAAGGCTTAAACGAGCCAGCCCATTCAATTTCAAGTTCTAAAAATAAATGGTTTTTTTAAACCCGGCCCGTGAGGGGTTTGGGTTTGGGTTTGGACTGGGCTGGCCTGCAAGTTTTATACCTTTTTAATTAAAATATAAATTTTTTAATTTTTTTTGCATATTTTATTAAAATAATAAAAATGAAACAATAAAATTACTAATAAAAAGTATAAATATAAATAAAATTAAATCACAAATATAAACATCATTATATCAAACATCTATCACAGTGTAATAGAATCTATTGAATAAGCAAACTAAGTGAAGAACAGACATAAACAAATAAATAAGCACTAAATTCAAAAAATAATTACAATGCGGATGATCTGGTTTAATTATAAATAACTAATAAAAAATTTTAACTAACAAACATGGTACACATAAAGAATAATCATTCATCCTACCGATAAAAAAGAAAGGAATCAATCATCCCCAGTTCTAAATTTGTTTCTAACTATAAAAATGATATAGATTTTTATTTCAATTCAAATGATTCTTTAATTAATTCTATTTCAAGCATAAAAAATATGGGAGAATAAGAAATAAAGACCGTAAAAATTAAATATATAATATTTTAATAGATTTTGACAACTTATAAATAACAATACATTTTTGTGAATATACTTAGTTTTAAATTTTGTAATTTTCACATTTTTTTAGTTATTTTTCCAACAACTATGGTGATTCTTTTTTTTTTTTGTGAATGCTGTTTGTGTGAGTTGCTAAGATGAGTAAAACTAAAAGTGTATTATGTGTAAAATGTTAGGATTTTTTTTTCAAGTTAAGAAAAAATATAGAAATTTAAAAAAATTATTAGCAGGCTTAAACAGGTCGACCCGCAACCTACAGGGCCGACTCGTTATTTTTCAATTCTACAGGATTGGTCCTTTTAAGCCTGACTTCTCTTTTAAGACTTCAAAATACAAGCCCAACTCTCGACTTAAACGAGTTGGTCCAACAAGCTCGGTTCATTTTCCTGATTCTATTTATCGGCTCTCAAAAGCTTGAAATCACGTCCATCCAAATGATCTCAATGCTCAAAATTGGGACACATAATCTAACTCCTAAAATTGCATCCCCACCGCTTGCTTCATTATAATCTCGACCGTTCGTTCATTTTCTGGTTTCTGCCAAATCCCTGGCGATCTAAGGAGGTTGTTTTCGGTTCCTTCCAAGCCATTCGACGACGACAATGCTCTTGCTCATGAGAAACTACCATCGGACACTATAACTTTGTCAAGAACAATAGAAACAAGCTGATAGAGGTGGAGATCAGCTAATTCAGAAATGGAGAAAGAACAAGATCAACAGAAACAAACAAAAACAAAATTCTAGTTATGTATTGCTACAAAGGTTAGCCAAAACCCAAAAAGCACTTCATCATAATCTTGGAACGATGTTAAATAGTAGTCCACTTCATTACATTCCAACGTCGTTGCAAAAGCTAGGAAACCCAAAATTGAACGACATTGCCTCATTTATCAATCGAAGAGCAAGAAACGTCTAAGGAGGCCGTCGAAGAGGAAGCAAGGCCGAAAAGGAGAAGGCAAGCGAGGCTTGTCGTTGGTGGTCATGGGAAGGGAGAAGCTGAGATAAGAGCCTAATGATGTGGTGCAATATGAGCTATTGGATCATTTGAATGGACACGATTTCAAGATTCTAAGAGTAGTTGAAAATAAGGATAACGAGGGTCTGTTTGGTTGGCAGGGAAGGTGGGAAAATGAACTCCTCCTTCCATTTGATTAGAAATTTTGAAAGGGAGAGGAGCTAAAATTTCCCCTTCCCTTCTCTCCTTTCTCTTATTTTGGCTCCCCTCCAGATGTAGGTGTTTTTGAAGGGGAGCCAAATATTTAGACTAATTTATCCTAAAAAACTTAATGACATTCCATAAATGTCTTTGGACTAATTTATGATTTTATCCTGACTTTCTTCTCTTCCTACTTCTCCTTCCTCATTTGGCTATGCTCTAGCTTAAATTCTTATCTCCGGTGCTAACCATATTTTTATACCCTAAACGTTACTTTTTTTTCTCTGTTATTTCATGGGTCACATGACATATATGACCTTCAGTCTTTAATATTAAAAGCTAGTTGACTAATTTGAGTAGATTAAATAAGTTTGTTAAATTAGTTATTTGTAATAATTAGGTATTGTCTTCCTTAAAATACCCTTGCTAATCATTTATTAGTTAAAATTACCATTTGAACGTTTAACATGTGCAACTCATATAAGGACTATTGTAAATAAATAAATAAATATGAGAAAAAAGGTGAATTAAGGTCTTATATTGAGGACCAAATTGAAAATTAAACTAGCTTTTATATTAAAAATCAGAGGTAGTATATTATTTCTTTGCTTCCTTCCATCGGTTTTCTTTGGATTTTTCTTTTTTAAAGATTTGATGTAATTTATAGTTTCACATTGTCTCCACCATAAATTCTATTATCATATCAACCGTATTAACTCAAAAAAAATTATTTTATTTTTCAGTAACATACATATAAAAAGATATAAACTAACATATGAGGGTGTAATAGCAAATTAATCATTACCTTCCATTCCCTTCTCGAACCAAACAAACGAGTGTTAAATATTCCTTCCCTCTCCTCCTTTCTAATCAAACCAAATAGTGTAATATTAAAACCTCTCCCCCCTTCCCCCACACTACACTTCCCTCCCTCCCTCCCATCCCATCCCTTCAAACCAAACAGACTCTTAGAAGATCTAGCTCCAGGGGTAAGTGTGTTTCCTTCTCCTTCCCCACCTCTCCTCCCAAATTTTGAGTTTTTAGTAGGGAGAGAAATTTTTGGTTACACTCTGACTAAATTATCCATGCTAATTGTTTTATATTCTAATTTTGCCTGTTTGACTAAGGGCCTATATGGTTTAAAAAATTAATTGGAATGGAAATGAATAAAAAAAAATTTAAAAAGAAGGGAATGAAATATTTCCGGTAGAATGAGTTTTTGGTTCAAACCAGAATTAAAAATTGGTCCAATGAAAAATTTATATTTGGTTGGATGAAAATGGGTTAAAAAATTGAGCCATTTTACCATGTTACACTTAATGAAAGATTAACATTATTAAATAAAAAAAATGCTGCTTTTAATAAAAGGACAAAATGATATAAATAAAAAAAATGTTTTTTAGCCTTCGGGAATAATAATATTATTAAAAAAATTAAATAAATTATACTTTAAACAAATAAATATGGAGTAAGCAAATTTGAATTTAATACAGGAAATTCAAATTGTCTTGTATCAAGTTCAAATTTATTTGAGCATATTTAAATTTCTCTGTACAAATTCTAATTTCATGTACGATATTCAAAATTTTGCGCAAAATTTTAAGGAAAAATCCCAGAAAAAGCCCTTGGAATATACCAAATCCCAGATTGGGCCCTTAAATTTCGAAAATGACAGAATGGATCATTGACCCAATTTGTCATTTGTGAAATTCAGGCGAATTGACATTTTTGCCCCTGAGCAAAAGTGAGTAGTTATTCTCTAAACAAATCTAGGTAACGCTTATACTGTTCTAGTGATTACAAGATTCATTGTAGTTAATAATAAGGTACCTGACAATAATAAGATACCTGACTATGAAAAAATGAGTAGTTATTCTCTACACAAATCTAGGTAATGCTTACATTGTTCTAGTGATTACAGCATTAGTTGTAGTTAATAACAAGACACCTGACTATGAAAAAGTGAATAGTTATTCGCTATACGAATCTAGGTAACACCTAAACTCATATAGTGATTCCTTGAATCATTGTAGTGAATGAATAAATGAGGGCAAAATTGTCAATTCGCCTGAATTTCACAAATGACAGATTGGGTCAATGACCCATTCTGTTATTTTCGAAATTTAAAGACCCAATCTGGCATTTCCCATATTCCAAGAACCTTTTTTGGGATTTTCCCAAATTTTAATTTTGCCCTGTCATACTGAGGCCCTCTACTATGCTCTATTTTTTATTCACCAAACATAGAATATTTTCACGTAAAAAAGGGCGATAAAAAAATCAATTTATTTGCCTAAAATAGCAAGGCTAACGTGCTAGATTTTTCTAGAGACGTTTTAGAATATTGGAAGTGACAAACGGACTTGAAACTTTTTCCTTACACATATGAATATATATATATATATATGTATATATACATATATACGCACACAAGTTTCATATACAGTTTGACTGAGTCATATGAAGATATTAATCGGCAGGCAGCAAAGTAGCAGGAGTAAATAATGAAAGGGCGAAGCATGTAGGTAATTGTCGTCACTCATCAATAATTAAGTTTTCTGTTACTTTTCTCCATTGAGGGAGTCACAAATGGAATGCTTCGACTCCAGTCTCCAAATGCTCAGTGATTTTTGGTCTGGAAATTGAAACTTGCTACAATTCTGATTTCTCCTCCTTCTATGTAAGTTGCTGTTTTTTGTTGAAGTTTTGTTTGAATAACTTAAAGGCGTATTTTTTTTTTTAATAACAAAGGCAGCAAAAGATATAGGAATAAAGAAACAATGAAATCGAGTGGATGGCAATAGAAAAAACCAATCTGAGTTTTTGTTGCGGCTAATTATTTCTTCACCCTTTTTATCTGAGTTTTTTGTCGCTGTTGTTATTGTAGATTTATTCAAGGCTGCAAATCCTGCAATAGAATAGTTTTTTTTTTTGTATCTTGTTTGTAAACTACTTAACTAATACTTCCTCCGTTCCTTATTATAAGAGACATTTGATGTTTATGGCATGTTCCTATATATAAGAGACACTTAAAAGTTGTCTCTAATTTTTTGTGTTGATTTCCTATTTTACCCATATTTATTGTCTCCAACTCACAATCCCTCTCCTTCCCATTTCTCTTTCTTTTAAAAATTTACCATTGTTCTCTCTCATGCTCTCTCTCCTTACTAATGAGGGCATTTTTAGGAAAAAAATTATACTTTTTACACATTAATTGTTCTTAACTAATTTTAACTGTTTTTTTGATCGACGTAATTCGGTTATTCGTCTCTTATAATAAGAAACGGAGGGAGTAATAGCAGAGCATTTAATTGATAATGCCTGTTTTCAACCTCTTTGGAGACCTGGTAGCCTGTTTGTGGTTTTTTTTGAAAAGTTCTGACTTTTAAACGGTTTCAGACTAGGCCACACTTTTGTATAGGTCAGGTTTAGTTTAAAAAATAAATTTTTAACAGGTCACATGTCAGCTCAAACTGATTTGTTACAAGATAAGTTGAGCCTAACAAGAGGAAAGCCCATCAAGAGGAAAACCTGACCTATTTCTATCTTAAAACTTAACATGACTATAAGTCGTGTCATTCAAATAATTTTCTGCCTTTAAATTGCAGGTGAACTCAACTCTTTTTCTAAAATTCTCATTTCACCAAAAGAAAAAACAGAGTTATATACTCTTATTTTTATAACAAATAATTAATTTTTTGATCGTTCTAAGAAAATTTCGATGCGAATTTGAATTCAATAACCCTAGTCCCATCTTCACAAAATTCACAATTTCAGTTCCCGCGCCGTTGCCCACCCGCGGCTGTCACGCTCCTCCGTTCGCCCTTCCCGGCGCTCCTCCTTCACGCGGTCGTTGCCTGGCTTCTCGTCAGCCTGAGAGGGAGAGGCAGAGCAGCTGCAGCAGAGCACCATCGTCTCAGCGGCTTCCTTATCGGCATCAGTTCAGTCGTTCGCTTGACCATCGCCTAGACGTGGGTATTTCCTTGTCTTTACTTAACTTCAGTGTGACACACGAGAGAATTATTTGAATGATGCACCTTATAACCATGTCGTTGTCTTCTTCGTATTAACTAGCCATGTCATACTTGAGCTCTTTCTCCACTGTGAATTTTTTTTCAATTAGCTTGCAGAATATGGTTTTTTTAAGGGGATTACAATAACCTGATTTGCCAAATAGACAAGATATCTGTATAAACTCATTATTAATGCTTCTTTACAAACAAGACCCAGAAAAGCTTTTGATCATGGGCTTTCCTTTCATATTATTTTCACTTATCTTCTTTCATCTTATGCTTGATTGTCGACTTTTTCACTCTGAAATTTCAATCACTCTAATACCTCAGGAGAAATTGTTATCAGCAGATTATTATTGGAGGAGCATCTGATGGCCAATTCTCGAGGGCGAGATTTCCTGTTCTGTCACTTGTGTGGGACAATGCTGACAGCTCCTTCTGCCAAGTATGCACAATGCCCGTTGTGCAAAACTAGGCGCGACATTAATGGTAAAACCTTTAAACCTCATCTTCTGTTCGGTTTGTATCCTTGATTTGTTAGCAAGTTAAATAGTCTTTGGTCTTACCGAACATCTGGTAGGGTCATTTTTGAGCATCTTAGATCCCCATGTTTCCTTATACAACTGTGCTCCCTTTTTCCTTCTTTTCGGTATGTTAAAAGTGTGGTTTTCCAATTAAACAGCTAAATTTAAGCTCATATCAACTTGGCTGGTTGTTTGTGCCTGAAACCACAATCTACAGTATTTAGTTGACTGTGCATAAGCTTGGCAATCAGCATGTTCCCAAAAAAAAAAAAATGAAGTTCATGTTGCTTAACAAGGGCCTTTGGAATGTTTATCATCCTTCAAAGCTAGAGGATTTCTTATCTACTTATTTTACTTCCCATTACAGATAATTTATTGATCATTCTCTTCTCTCAATGATTTGGTGCTTGACATTGTGTGCTCGTGTTAAGTTTTGAGTTTTCACAATTGCTAGCTCTTATGTTATATGGATTCTAAATCTGATTTAAATTTTTTTTTTTTGTTTAAGGAAAAAGCCAGTATCTAATGTTTGATTGAAAAGCTTTTCCAAGTAGCGCTTGAGTTTCTTTTTCTTTCTTTCTTTCTTTCTTTTTTTTTAAGGATCCATATACTGAATGAAGATACATTTGGTTGAACTGTTGAAGGTATTCCTTGATTTATCTTTAAAAAAATGAGAGGCATGGTGATGAATTTACAGCACCAAACTACTTGTGAAATCTATATGCTAGTTTAAGTGTGTATATGTGTATGGATGTTTGCAGATTTGGATGTTGTACTGTATGCGCGCATGTTTTGAGCTTCAAGTGTACATCGATATCCATTTTTCTCTAAAAAGTTCATTATGTAACTGTAACTTGCTTTCCCTGATTTTTAATATGCTCTAATTGATTGTCCTTGTCTTCAGATATAAGCGGAAAAGAAATAAGTTACACAATTTCTGCTGAGGTATGGTTTATTACTTTAGATAAGCTGCAGATCAAATTTGTATTCATTTTCTTTGAACGTATGTTTTGTTTCAACCAATTAGATGATAATTTAATTGAAATCAATTATTTCAACATGTTGACGAACGTTGATAATTTGATTTCAAAGTGGCAAATTTGCTGTGGCACCATAAATGCAACTATAGCGAACTTCAAGCTGCATCTGATATTTCCTAATTTTATGTACCCTTCTGTTTGCAGGATATCAGAAGGGAGCTTGGAATTATTATAATGGAAGAGCAGAAGGTCCAGTTGTCAAAGGTAATGAGCCAACAGGATTGATACAAGGGCATGCATGAGCTTTCCTTTGGATCAATAGTTGCTTATTTTTTGTATTGATGTATTCTTTTTCGTTGGATAGGTGAACAAGAAATGTGAGAAATGTGGTCATGGCGAAGCTAACTTTTACACCAGACAGGTATTATTAGAATCTATCTATCCATCTATCAACTTTAGCAAGCCGCACTATTCATTAGTAATAAATATTGGGACTTAATTCCCAGAGTATGCATAAGGCATAGGATCAACTCTAGTTATGACGCAAAGGTGTTCATATTATTTATATAAGGGTCAAGTTTAGCTATAAGTTTCGTAACATTCTAATTTTAATTTGCAGATGCGATCAGCTGATGAAGGGCAAACTACTTTTTACACCTGCACCCGTTGTGGCCACCAGTTTCAGGAGAATTAAGAATACTAGTGGATATTTAGTTCAAAAGATTTTCCTGAGAAGATATACCAAGCGAAATCTTAAATGACTTATAAGGGGAATATAAAGCATTGCCTATGACTGAGGTGAGAATTTATCCTACTCATTTTGACCATTTGTGCCATATCATATTCACAGTATATTGTTCACTTGGAACATTGACGAAGTGATTTGGTAACATTGACCCTCCGGGGGCAATAATGCACAGATGGGTCCTTTTGTTATACAGATTTCCTTGAAAATAGAGTAATGGTTTAGCTAAATTGATTTTTCTTTTCCTTGTTTATGATCGTGGAGTGAGCTAAACTGATAGGTTTGCGTTGCATGAATATTAGAAGTTAATTATTCTTTCAACTAAAGAATATTCCCATGGATCCCTGATTGTATGGATGGCCTTTCTTTATCTGGTCACATTATCATGCAAAGCTACCTTGTATGTTATTTATTTGCTGGTTTTAACCGCACTTATTGTCTATCCTGTACATAGAAAGGGCAATAATCGTAATTATGAGATAATTACATATAATATTATTTTGTTTTTGATTAAAAGTGATGTTAAGAGAACTTTATTTGAATAGGGCTCACAATGCTCGGACTTGGGCGTTATTTGTGTCAAAAGATGGCACATATGCACCTATTTTGAAACTTTGGCTAAAATAGAAAAATAATAAATTTGTTACGTTGCAAGTTAAAGTTATTTTAATTTTCTCTATGTTTCACAAAGTGCAATATATTAAATTAATTGTCCTTAGTATCTAAGACAATCTAGACAAGCAGCTTAAGAATAACATGAATAATAATTTTCTTCTAAACTGTATGTGTTTGTCACGAAACTTTATTTTTAAATCATGTCAAGCGAATGAATTTTTTGGAACTTCGACGTAAATTATGGGAAAAATTTCAAATAAATACCTCTAAAATTTAAAAATTTCATATCAGTGATTTAAATTTGCATAATCTTAAATCAGTCCACATTCTAAAATTGAATTAGGAAATGTTCCGTTTTTATGATAATGCGCCTCACAATGGAAAAAATGTCGGCTCGACCAGCTATCTTGGGTTTGACCCTCCGCAGGTGGCCGGCGGCCACAGCTTCAGCGTTGGGGGCCCGCAGTTAGATTGTTTACTTCTTTCGTTTAAATTTTATTAAAAAAATAATAATAAAATCCTGGGGGAGCTCACTTGGAAGCTATTTTTGCCACATGAATGACTCATAACTCAGTGAGGGATAACAATATGAAAAGTGAAAGAATGAGAGATTAAGTTATAATTGAGTTAAAAGTTTAAGATTAAAGAATTGAGTTAGAAATGAGTTAAAAGTTTGAGGAATCAAAGATTAATTTTTTTTGAAAAATAAATTAACCATATGTGAAATTTGCTAAAACATTTTATTTTGGTAAATAAGTAATGAGTTGTGATAAAGTGCTGTAAATAACTACTCATCTTTATTATGATTTTAAAAGAACTATTTTGCGAATGGTGAAAAATTAATTAAAGTTAGTTAACAACAATAAAAAAGTTATGAATATATTTTTATTTCAAATATACATTTACAATAAATAAGAAAAAAATAAAAAAGAATGTATGGAAAAACGTGATAAGAAGAGAAAATAAATAATTAATAGCAAAATTGAGAAAAACTTTTTAAATGTTAAGATAAACTCAAATTGAAACTTATAAATTGAACCACACCCCTTTCCAATTTGAAGCTTATAAATAGAAGTGGAACGAGTATTATTTGATTATTTTGTACTCTTTCAGTCCTCAATATAAGACCTATTTAACTAATTTAATTAGATTAAGAAAGTTAGGTAAGTTAGTTAATTATAAAAAATATGGCATACTTTTCTTAAAATATCACAATCATCTTCCTCGATATCCTTTCTCTTTTTTCTACTTGATTATGATTGGGGAGTATCCATAGGAGTAATTTAGATAAAATTAATAAATATGAGAAATATGTCTTATATTTAGGATTAAAATCAACTCAATAATTAATTCATATATTAAGGACCAGACGAGCATTATTTTAGTAGGCTAAAATATGCATTTGGTCTCTTAGTTTCATAGAGGGTTTCAATTTGATTCTTTAACTTTAAAAAACATACTTTTCATCTTCAACCCTAAAATCATTAGATTTAAATGATTTTTTTTAAATAATCATGATTATTTTGAAAATTAAGCTTAATATATTAGCATTTAAAAATTTTCTATTAACATTTAATATTCCAATGTCATTACTTTTTGTTAACAATTTTAAAATAAAACGATTAAGAGTGTACTTTTAAAATTAAAGAACTATATTAAAACTCTTTATAAAATTAAAAAAACTAAATGTATATTTTAGTTTATTTTAGTAATATGGTTTGCAGGTTCAATTGTCATATCACCTATGGAAATCCTAGGAGGTGATAGAATGGAATCTCATTACGGCTGTGTTTGACATCACGTTTCATAGCCTAAACGTACGTCTCCACTGGTAAAAGCTACTTTTGGGATTTTGAAGTTGTTTGGATTGACTTTTTTTTTGTGATGAGCTTATGGGATCTAATGAGCTGTTGCGCAGAAGCTACTTTTTTTGACTTTTGGAGTGATGAGCAGTTGGGGGTGAGGGACGGTGGTGTGTGTAAGAGAGAAAAAAAAAAAAAGAAGAAAAGAGATGATGATATTAGACATGAACTTTTTTTTTGACATTCACATGCTGTAAAAATAGAACAATAAATAAAGGATAATATTTTTTTAGTAAATACTGAACATAAATTATCGCAAAAGTAAATACTAACGTAAAATTGAAAAAAAAAAAGCACCATGCTATTTTTCATTTATTTACTTAATGTTTATATTTTTTTTTCCAAAAAAAGATATCTTTTGTTTTTTATTTTATTGCTTAGAATTTACTATTATAATATTACTTAATAAAATTATATCTTTTTCAGTTATTTTGTATGTAAACTTACTTTTTTATCATTCATCTAAATAAGTTTCAGCTTCTCAAACTGACTTTTCTACAAAAATTAATACAAACATAAATCACATCACCTTATCTGACTTTTGTAAAAGTCAGATTGAAAAAAAAATAACTTTTCTCACCGCTTATCCAAATACACCCTACAACCAGCTTTGGTGTGAAAAAGCCTAAGCCGGGGGTGATGTCATTGGCTCACTTGTGCAGCTCCCCAACATATATACAAGGAAGAATTACACAGAGGTATTAATTAAAAAAATATAATTACAAAATACGTTTTAAAAATTATTAATTTTTATTCTGAAATTTGTCATTATAAACTATTTAAATTGTTATTTAGACTTGTTAATAATAATTTTTCTTTCCTTCCCTTAGAACCATTGGCTCAGCTGTGTCTCCCGCATTCGAGAGTATTCGAAAGAGTAGTAGGGACCATCGATGTCTTTTTCACCCGAGTTATTATATCATTAAATCTGACCAAACGTTTAAACTGCTGCAATGAGACTAAGAGCAAGAGAACAAAAACTTGTTTTAAGAAGACTGACATTCTCCATATATTAGTTTTGTATTTACTTCAACATTCTTACTATTATTATTTAAGATAACTTTATTATTATTTTAAGAAAAGGAAGGAAAAAAAAAATTCGAGTCTCATACTTTCTGTTCCTTTTTACTAATTTTTATACACTTTTCTTGTCAATTCTTTTTTATCTTTTGAATTTTAAAATGAAAAATAAAAAATTAATGTCTAAATTACTAATTGTTTGATCACAGTCTCGTCTAATTTGACACTTACAGTTTCAGACTAATATAGGTCTAATTTTTTAAATCAATTCTCGAACTTATTTGACTCGTTTTAAATCAAATTTCGTACTCAGTCAATTTTGAAAGTCAAATGCACCGATTCTATTACTAATAATAATGGGACATTTTCTAATCCAATGTAGTATTAATTTTTAATCAATTTCTTAATTAATCTGGTAAAGAAGTCAAATGAGCCAATTCTTTCGCAGCTTGACCCTCTTTTTTTTTTTTGTCTTCTAAATTTGATGACCCAGTTTACAAGTGAACTGATCATTATCTTTCCCCCTTTGTATTATTTTGACTTATATTTTTTGTATTCATTTGACAATGTTGCTTGGACATTGCATTAGATCTTATATTTAAGACTGGATGTGGTATATATATTGTCCCAACTTGATTAATACTACTTCTGGTCCTATTTATAATAATTAATTGACTAATTTGAGGAGATTAAGGAAATAAGTTAAGTTAGTTATTTATAATAAATAAATATTGTTTTTCCTAAATTATCCTTACTAATCAAATGTATTGGCTAGCACTCTTATTGTTAGAAGGACTATCTTGAAACAAAATGCATAAATATGAGAGATAGAGTGGATTGTGGTCTTATATTTAGAATCAAAATAAAAATCAAACAAAATGTTATATAAACGACCAGAGCTAATATTATTTTTGTGTCAAAATGTGAAAATTTATTAAATTAAAACTTTCTCAAATGATATATGTAAACTGATCTCTAAAAGTTGAACAGAGTTGGACAGCAAAACTAGAATTTCAATTTAAAGTCAAATTCTGTTAATTTTTTTGAAAAACGAACAGAATTTGATTAATAATATTAAAAGTCAATAAATATTGAATGGTGGCCAAAAAAAAAAAACTGATAATGATTAATAATATTTGTTCTTTTTCCAAAATGAAGTGTGAACTATCCACTGGCCTTCCCCTCCCCTGGATCTGTCCGAACCTCAGAAGCTCTCTGAAGATTCTGCGTTCGCTTTCTCTTCCAAAGGTAGAATCCGCATTCCTTACATCAGTTTCATGATGGTTTTGATTCTTAGGGATTTATTTTCGGTTCTGGCATAGAATCTGCAGATTCTGAGTGTATATTTCTGGAAGTTAATTAGTTGCTTGAAACTTCGTTTTGCCTTTTCAGCAGAAGAGTTTCCCTTTTTTCGAAATCCCTTGCAATTTGGAAGTTGTGTAGCATCATGAATATTCTGTGTCTTAAAAGCTGGATCTTAACTTATTCGATTTATCCTATAATTGATGCTGCTCCTTTGACATAGCTGAGAGAGAGAAGCTTTTTTGTGGTTAGTTTTAGTTTTGATATGCAGTCGATGATTCTTGTATTTTTTTGGTTTCTTCAATGTTTCTTGCTCTTATAACTCACGATTCTGAAGGCATGAACTCGGGAATATTCACCTGATTGGGGTCAGATCGAGCCCCCATGATTTAGCTTCTCATTCGTCAGCTTTAGAAGTTGGCCTAAACAAAAGCTGATGTAATAAAAAAGGCATAGAGCTTTCGATATATATATGTATATATATTATAATCTCATACGGATTTTGAGGCAGGAAGATTGAATGGTGTTTCACAAATTTTTTAACTCTGTTGCTTAGTTGTTTCGCTTCCCAATTGTCTACATACAGAGCTTCATCTGCATAGCCGTCATACTTTTTTGCCTAATGGGAAGAGAAAAAGATCATTATGCTCTCTCTGTTGCTGCAATTCCAAATGTTTTCTGTTGTTATACTAATTAAGATAAAGAAAAACTTCTCGAGTTGTCATCTTCAAATTTAAAAAGATTTATTCTCTTTTAGTAACTAGGAAATATATAGTCTAGCTTATGCTGTATCTGATGTATTGTTATTTATGATCATCTGCTAAACAGCTTGAATTTTAATTTGTGTTTTCATCTCTGGTGTCATAACCTGTATGCTTTAACTAAGTGGTGAAGTGTACGATCTTTGCTACCCTTTGCTACCCCAGTTTTCTTAATCAAATGAGATTTCAGCGCATGGTATGTGAGTGTTTGCTTTATCTACTCCTAAGGTCCAACAAACTTCTGCATAAGGAGCATGTTAAAATTATAGTAAATTTATTTTTCAGCCTTTGCTCATCAGCTGTTGCTTTTAGGTTGAACTAATCCATGACATGATGTAAACTGTCTTGTTTTGTATTTATGCTACTCAACTACAGATAAAAGCATGTTGTTTTCTGAAGATCCTGCTTCAGTGAAGCTTTGTAGGAGACGTTGCAACTGGTGTTTTATGAATTATATGCTCCATAACTTCAATACCCTTGGCATCACAAGATTTTGTGGCATGGATAGATATTCATTGTCTGTATTTTTCCACATAATTGATTGCTATTGCTAATTCTTACCCTTCTGTAACTGAAGCAGGTCTTTTGATATTTGTCCTCCCTTTCTAAGTTGTCTACATGGCCAGTAATGATGCAAGGGAGCCCTTGGTTCGACAATTACCAGACCTAGCAGCTCCAAAAACAAACGGCCAGGTTGGCAGGAGAAGGGTTCTCCGTTCTAGAAGTGCTCCTCTAGCTAATCTTGATCTACCTGAGAAAACTGATATTGGCTCAATTCAGCGTTCTGAGTCCATATTTGGGAAGTTACATCCAAGTTTTCTAAAGGTGGCTATATATCTTGTAGGGTATTTAAGTATTGGACTTGTGATCTTCTATCTTGTCAGGCACCAGATTGCAGGGAAGAAAACAGTGGGGTTCCTTGATGCTCTGTACTTCACAATTGTCACGATGACCACAGTTGGATACGGAGACCTTGTGCCAAATAGTGACCTTACAAAACTACTTGCCTGTGCTTTTGTATTCACAGGAATGGCACTAGTTGGTTTAATCTTAAGCAAAGCAGCGGACTACTTGGTTGAAAAGCAGGAAGTTTTGCTAGTCAAAGCTCTGCATAGGAAAGATAAAGTTGGTCCAACTGATATCCTAAAGGAGATTGAGGTCAACAAGACGATATATAAATTTTTTGTGGTACTTTCCCTGCTCTTAGCGCTCATTGTTACGGGGACAATTTTCTTAGTTGCTGTTGAGAAGTTGGATATTATCGATGCCTTCTATTGTGTTTGTTCTACAATAACAACCCTGGGTTATGGTGATAAAAGCTTTTCCAGTGAAGGAGGAAGAGTCTTTGCTGTGTTTTGGATATTGATGGGTACTATTTGTTTAGGTCAGCTTTTCCTTTACATTGCTGAGCTGAACACTGAAAAAAGACAAAAGGAAATCTCTAAGATGGTTCTTACACGGAGGACAACCAATGCAGACTTGGAGGCAGCAGATCTTGATGATGATGGAAATGTTGGGTTAGTTCATTATTCTTCGAAACCTTGGTTGTCGGTAGTTCATATTATCTGTCTTGTCATGAGTTGGGCTAGGCTTGATCTAAAGCCCAACAGACTTCTAAGCGCGGAGCCTAGAAACCTACCCAAGCACATTTTGATTTAGGCCTATCCTTGGAGATTAAGAATAGTCCAAGCTAGGGGTAGAGCCTGGGTTTGACCAAGATTTATTTCCATGAGAATATAATTTTCCTGCAATTTTGATAAAGTTGGTGGAGTGAATTTGTCAGTTTTAACTACTAAATAAGAAACTTTTGTAGAAACTTGCAAGTCATTTATATAGTCAATTCTATCCAAAAATAATTTCGCCGTGTTTTCTTTCTTATAAGAGAGTTGAATTTGCCGAGTGAAACCTAAGAACGCGTTGTAACAAACGAAATATAAGCAGTACAAAAATCGACTAACAATTCGATCCAGAATTTACAAACCCACTCAGCTCTAGTCCTCGATTTCTTTAGTGCACAAAGTGCTTATTAAAAGGATCTTGTTCATTTCAAACTAGTCTTTCTGTCAAGTTCATCATTGTCACATTTAAAATTCGCATACGGTATGATTTATTATAACATGGGGATGGGTTTTTCTTGAGCAACTCATAAATTCAAAGTAAAGGAATGATGAATATTTACTTAATTTGCTTGATTTTTGATTCTGGATTGTTGATATATTGAAATAGGATTCCAGAATTTTCAACATCTTTCTTAAGGATGATGTTCCCTTTCAAAGAATCTGACCAATTAAGAATGATTTTAGTTTCATTAATTCATTTCAAGTAAATCTCTTTTTTGTTGCTGCTTTTAGGGTTGCTGAGTTCATTATCTATAAGCTCAAAGAGATGGGGAAGATAACTCAAGAAGATATCTCACTTGTAATGCAAGAGTTTGAGGAGCTTGATGTTGATCAGTCTGGTACTCTTTCACCTTCTGATATAGCTCTTGCTCAATCACCTCGTCCATCTTAGACACTCATAATTATAGAGTTTCACACGTACAAAATGAACTTACATGCTGCTTGTAAGTTAGTTTTCTCACCTTATTCCTGATATTTCTTTGTAAATATCTGAGCTGTAACTTACATTTTCCCGCCCTAATGCATACTTTGATTATGGCTTCAGGCGAGGTTTTATTAATTATGACCCCTGATCCTGGAATTTCAGTAGTCTTACTTCTTCCAGCTTCATTAAATATTGGATTAGATGAAATCATGAAGAAGTCCAGATTATATGACTATGAAATTTTGGTAATGCTATAATCATACTATCTATGCATGGTCTCATGACCAAGTATGGGTAAATTCTTCTTTGTATTTTCAACTATTTAGTTTTTATATTTTACAAAGTTTTCATTGTTTATTAGTCAGTTCTTAAAATGCCAAGCATTATTACGCGTGTGACTGTTTAGGATCGTTATTCTTGGTCATCAATTCTTTAACTCTCAACTTCTTCATCTTGCACGTTGTTATGCTCAAGGATTCTAACCTTATACTAATGTATTTGGTGTCAGTTCAAAATGCATTTTTGCTACTATGAGGTGTAGTAGAAATAGGAGTAGCAAAAAAGTAGCTATTATGGCATCAGTTATCAAGCGATTGATACTGAAAATGGATATATTACGGCGTCAGTTTCTATGTTGCAACTGCGTAATTGGCATTTTTTCAAAAAAAAATTCTTGATTAAATATATATCCATTATTTGACTGGAGAAATTTGGCTTCTCTGGGAAATCAGGTTATGCTAAAAATTAAAAGTTGTTCTCCATTTAAACATATTCTCATAAAAATAAATTATATCCTCACACCTGAATATACACATATGAAACACTCAAGTACGAAAATACAAGGAATCAGGTTATGTTGATTGCCGGGGAAACTTGTCCAAACTCAACCAAAAGCACAATTACAGCAAAGCTGGTAGGCAAATAGCATTTTGAGTGCGCCAGTGGAATCGTCAAAATTACAACGACATAAATGTGAAAACTCAAAAGATAGAGGAAAGAACGAGAGTTCTCATTATATTTGAGTCATTCTCTAAATTTTGTTTAGGATAAATAGAGAAGGTCTCTTTTATCAAAAAACATAGAAGAAAAAACATTGATTCAAAAGATTAACCTGCACAAAGTTGCAGCGGTGAAGTGTTGTGCCTTTGAACTGCAAGGACAACACTCTCTTTTATCTTCAACCCAATTGCAGTTGATCCTGGCTGCAGCCAACAAAGCCAACTTACAAGAAACTAGGTGGAGACATAAGCTTAATGCTACCTCTGATTTTTAATATAAGAATCAATTGATTAATTTGAGTAGATTAGAAAAATTAGTTAAGTTAGTTATTTGTAATAAATAAGTGTTGTTTTTCCTAGAATAACCCTTTCTAATAATGTGTGTTAGTTAGAACTACTATTTAATGAAAAATTTAATGTGTAACTACCATAAGAACTACGCTGAAGAAAATAGATAACTATGATAGATAAAGTGGATTGAGATGCCATATTTAGGACCAAATAATTAAATGTCAAACTAGTTCTTATATTAAGAATCAAAGGTAGTATCACAGTCAACAGTATTCCCTTAGGATAACAAACAAGAAGTATGAAGGTATCCTGAATTTGAATTTATACCTAGAAAAGAAAGACAACATGGCATGTCAAAACAAAACACACAGAATGGACCAACCAGCATCAGGAAGAAATTAGCATGAGAATATATAAAATATGTTGTTAATTTAGTCCATTATAAGTTAGTGCATAAGCTTTACATCCCCACTAGAATTGGGTTCCAAAATTCCATAGGATAGATTGGAATCTCAAACAATAATTTCAGCTTGAAGCTCAGGAATCTGCATATGACACTTTTTCTTAATCTTTAATATAGATGTGGAGGATGTGATCATGGCTATATTTATCATTCAACAGGCCATTCAAGCCAGTATAACCATGTAAAATAAAATATATTTTCTGTAATTTAGCTGCCACTGAATCACTCCCATTTGTTGAGTTCATACTCAAATCAAGCTATTAGTTAAGCACATTAGGCTTATCTCGGCAAGATATAAAAGTCAGTTGTAATTATAATAAATTCAACTAAATTTTATAATTCTATTATCATACAACTTTGACTAGAATGTGAGGGATTAGCGACGGAATAAAATTTCGTCGCTAAATTCCGTTACTAATACCCCGTTTTTTTTTTTAGTGTTGTGTGGGACTTTGTTGTAATTTTTCCTATTTTTTTATAAAAAAAATGATGAAGATCCCGTTCTTGTCGTTTTTTCAAAATTCATGTCCTAAAGGAGTAGTTTGAATATAGTATTTAGGTTAATATTTTTTCTTCCATAAGATCTGGGTAATATTGTTTATTGTGCGGAGCATTTTTATCAAAAAGCCATCGAATCTCAACATAAGCAAAGTTTTATTCGTGATTTAAAAGATCACATACATATCTGCCTCTATTATTTATAATAATCACACACGGGTATAGATAGAGCAGGCCAAGTATATTCCATATACTGGCTTCTATTTCCACAATACATTTATTTTTATTTATTTATTAGAGATTTATTATTGTTATTATTATTGATATGAGCTTCCTAGGCTTGGGAGCCAACCATGCATGGACACGCGTACAGCTCCTCTTGCTCGGTTCGCCATCTTCTTCTTCCTTATCCTCTCTTCTGCAATTACTACAATCAAACGAACCAAAGGTAAGAAACACAGAAAAAAAAAAGCTCTTAAGGCACTGTTAAATACTATAAACCCTAATTTCTTGATGGAAAAATATATAATATGATAATAAGAAGAGACTATACTTTTGAGTCCTGAATGGTTAATTTCTTTAAGAAATGATTCCTTAGTCTTTTTAAAAAAAATGATATTATCTGAATTATTTGAAAGTCTGAGTGATTATTGATGAGGATATATAATAATATTCATCTTGAAAGACAACCTAATTTTTTCAAAATAAGCTGTTCAGTGTTGTTAAAACTCCCTTTCAAGCATGAGACATTAAGGGGGTGTTTTGGATGAAGCCAAACCACGGTTTGGAGAATAGCTTCTGGAGAGAATAAATTTTGAAAGAATAGATTTTCTGAAAAAATAATTCTGATAAACTGAGAGTATTTGGATAGTTATTGTCAGAAGTGTTTTTTTTATGCAGAAATTACTAAAAAAGACATAAGTTTAAATGATAATTACATATAAGATATATTTAATAATATATGTTTATTTGAACTAATAAATTTGTTAATAATATATATTTTGTCAACATAATAAATAAGACATAATAATATAAATAATAAATAATTAATGTGTATATATATTTACAAAACAATTAAATATGTTTTTTGGAAAATGATTTATTTTGCCAATAAAAAAATTATTATTTCTTAAAGATTTGAAACATGAAATCCCATAATTTTTTGGCTTTTAACTTTGTACAAAGTTTTAATTTGGTTCTTTAACTTTAAAAAACATATATTTGATATTTTAACTCCAAAATTATTAGACTTTAATGATGGTTTTTTGTGACAATCATGGATATTTTGAAAACTAAGTTTAATATATTAGCATTTGAGAATATTTTATCAATATTTAAGATCTTAATATCATCATGTTTTCAAAAAAAAAAAAAGAACTAAAGGATTGCAAGTATACTTTTTAAAGTTAAAGGACCAAATTGAAACCTTGTACAAAATTAAAAGGCTAAATGTATATTTTATCCTCTTATTATTTACCATTTTTTGGCCAACTTTTTATTTTTATTCATTTCGTGTGCAAGTAAAATTAAATTTTTAGGTATAACATTGGATTTGTATTATAAACATAATAACTACTGAAATAGTGCAATGATTTTATTTTATTTTTTTCCTTTAAATTAAGGGTGGATAAATAGTACAATAAAATCAGCTTGGGGTGTTGCTGCAAAGCACCGTCTTGAATTGGCACTTGGGCGCGATGGACTGAACCAGCAGCCTCCCCGCTCCCTCTTGCTTCACCGTCGCTTCCTCCTTCTCCACCAACACTGCCTACACCGGCCCCATGCTCGGGTTAAAAGCTACCGATTCTATGTATGACCATTTGTATATCTTGCTGCCGCCGTCCATCAGAGCCACAGCCAAGAGACACCCACAGTATGGTGCATGAGACTTGTTCTAAAAGCAGAGGAGCGTCCTCGGAGAGAAGGTTGTGGGGTCCAAATCTGTGGGGGAGAAATTTCGAGTGAAGGGGCGACGGCGAAGGAGTGAGGCAGAAGAGTGTTCTTGTTTTTGCGAAGGAGTGAGATAGATTTCGACTGTTCCTGTTTTTCACCGCCAACAACCAGAAAAATACATCTTAGAAGTGAAGCAGCGTAGCTTATCCGAAAACCATGATTTGGCTGGCCAAAACCAAAGTTTTGGCTGAAACCATGGTTTTCAGAAATTTCAAGGTGTTTGACAATCACTAAACCCAAACCTTGGTTTGGGGCCAGAAACACTTCTGGAGCAATTGCCAAACACCCCCTAAGTTTCACCAATATTACCCCAACAATTTTCTCACTATATAATTAAACCTCTCTCACACAAGAAAATAATGGAAGTTGAATTAATAAAAAGATGGCTTGCCTGGCCGCAGCAGTTGCATGCCAGCAACTTGTCTTTTATGTCCTGTTCAATGTAGCTTGTCACTTCTTCTGCTATTTCTTCGGCTGATCTACCAACTGCTTCTTTTAGTTTTTTCTTGAATTCCTCCTTATTTTTTTTTATTATATTTTTTATTTTCTCCTTCAGCTGCAATCAAAACAAGCAAAATAAACAAACCAAGGGTAGGTAAGAACGTACAAAAGCAATAACTAGTTAGTGCAGTGTATTATTATTGTATTTGGTTCCTCCACTAGTACGTAGAAATTAGGGTTATGGTGTAAATTTATCTCAAAAGTTTTGGGTGTTTGAAAGTTTTTTTGGGAGCTAATTTGCCTCATAAATTTAAAATCATGATAATATTACCCCCTGCTAAAAAAAAATGACTGTTAAAATATTGACTTTAATAGTTAATATTTTTAACGACATGAGCAATATTGTTACGATTTTAAACTTATGAGACAAATTTATATCTTAACCCAAAAAATTAAGAATTATATAATATGTTACATAATCTCTCTAAAATACTTATAATATTATTATATTA